TTTTTTTTTTTTTTTTTTTTTTTTTTTTTTTTTTTTTTTTTTTTAGTACATTTTCTCTGTTTCTATTTCTTTTAATTCCGATATTCACTTTCAACACATGCATCGTTCTTTTTTTTCTCGTACAATTATAATCGTTCTTTGTCAAATTACGCGTGCTTCGCGGTTCTCGTCTTACGCTTTTCGTATCCTTTCTTCTTTTTTGTCGCTAATTCGCGTCTCGCTACAACGCGTGGGCTCATACTGATTGAAGAACTACGAGACGACGAACCTCGTATAATTATTTATGAACCGGCACGCTACCATCTTCCCTCATACTCACTTTTTTTTTTATTTTCAATCGACTGCGGAGGAACGCGAGATCAGGCGATACTGTTTCATATTTGATGCTATATTTCAACATACACACACACACGCATTCTCTCTTTCTCTCTCTCTCTCTCTCTCTCTCTATCTTTTTTTCTTTTTTCCCCCAGCTCTATTCTGGTATTTCTCCCAACTATGCATTCCAAGATCAATCGCAAAAACATTTGAAGAGTGTAAATCTTTTTTTTATCGAAAATCGCAATATGACCATACGACGTTGGCGATGACGATGGCGATGACAATTACGACAATGGCGACCAATTAAGATTGCGATGACAAAAAGGAAAACAAATAAAAATTAAAACAAAAAGGAAACTAAAAAATAACTTGTTCACATGTTGAAATAAAAGAAAAATGTGTCACAACAAACTGCGCGTGTAACTTTCAAAACGCTTGGAAAGAAAATTGTACACTTTATTTTCCGACGATAAAACTACAAACTGAAATTTAAAAAAATGTTCCGTTTCCATGCAAAATGGTATAAATTTTTTCGTCCTCTCTTACTTTCTTTTTCTCTCTCCCTCTCTCTCTCTCTCTCTCTCTCTCTCGCTTGCTCTCGCTCGCTCTCTCTCTCTCTCTCTCTCATTTCTTCATTCATTCATTCACTCGTTCATTCACTCACTGACAAACCGCAGGTTTGCATTGTCAATTGAGAGGACATTTTCAAAATTTGGAGAATCGACACGTTCGAGTAACGGTGACAATTTTTTTACACGATAATCGAACGTTATCGATTCATTATCAAAAATTACGAAATAATTAATCCGATTAACTCACAACGCGTTAAATTTCTTAAAGTCAGATAATACATTCATCTGCTTCAAAGGTTATACCCTCCTGGGGCATCGACCATGTTATTTGGTACAAGCGATCGTGAAAGTATCGACAGTTTGTAACACGTCGCTAAATATAGAATTAAACAAAAAATTTTGCATAATTTGCTATCGCGTTTAGTCGTTAATCATTGATGAACGAATCGTTTTTTTTTTTTTTTTTTTTTTTTTTGTTACTGCGATGCAAAGTCACGAACGAACGAGGACCGAAGAGACAAAAGCGACACGACGAAAGACTGATTTTCAAAACGAAATCGAACCTTGCATTTCAATGAAGACGAAAAAATAAAGGGAAAGAAGAGGAAAAGAGAGAAAAAGAAAAAAAAAGAAAAAAAAAAGAACGGAATAATTTCGAGAGAAACTGAAACGATTAAGCTGGCACAATCACGGGTAAGCGCGCGTAGTAGTGTTGCAATGTTCCAATGATTTCACGCGCGCATTTACCGATTACGACAAGAGAAAAACTCCGCGAACATCGCGTTAAACTCAAAGATATACATATACGTAAAACGATCGAATGCGTTTCGTTGAAGAAAAATTAAAACGTATGGAACAATGAATACGCAAAAACAAGAACAAAAATACCACTATTCGAATTCGTATTTTATCCCATCACCGTATTTCTTCTCTTCTCTCTTCGTTGTTTCCCTTCACAATTGAGATTACTCTTTTAAAAACTTTGTATACACCGAAATTCGTTGTAGTCGCAATTTTCGTTTTTCATCTTCACCGCCGCCTCCGTCCAACGAAATACTCCAAAATGTATCACTTATCGCCGTTTCGTTCCGAGTCGCGGAATCGAATCACACGCATTGTTGTAAGTTTCGATTTCGCGTTTCTTTGGACCATTTCTTTTTTTTTTTTTTTTTTTTTTTAATCTATAGAATTTTAACGAGTAAAAAATTTACTCGAAAATCTATCGATTTTTCATACAATAAAAAATCATCGCACGGCGATAAGTTCAATTTGAGAGTTTGTTCGCTCGTAGTCGATCCAAGATAAACTTTCTTCTTCACGACGAGACTTTTCAGCGTATTATATCAAATAATTCCGGCAGCGCTTTGCACACACTTTTTAATCTTCTTTATCTGCCGGGGAGAGTGGAGCAGTATTTCATAATTTCTTTTCATTTCTTG